TCCCCACTCTTCCCCACTCTTCCCCACTCTTCCCCACTCTTCCCCACCCCCTCTCTGTCTCTGCCCATCTCCTCCTCCCCTTTCTCTCTCGAGTGGTTTTGGTAACAGGAGTGACTGGGGGAGGAAAAACAGCCTAAAGCAAGTTTCTGACTCTCTCTTTCAGTTGTTTCACCAACTGGTTCGAGGCCCCCGAGTCGTAACCGGAACAACGAGATGCCTGGAGATGAGGAACTAGGATTTGAGGCGGCTGTGGCTGCTTTGGGTAGGTCAAACGTTTGTTTCTGCGGTTAACGCTGCAACAGCATTCTGTTATTAAAACCATAATACTGCGGCTGCTGGGAATGTCAAACAGGCAGAGAAAGAGAGAGAACGCTGGAGAATCTCAGCAGGTCCGGCAGCATCAGTGCAGAGAGAGAGAGAGAGAGAGAGACAGAGTTAACGTTTCGAGTCCAGTGTAACTCTTCCTCAGATCCAGACTCAAAATATTAACAGAAAATTGTTTTTATATAGAGCCTTCGTAGTAAAAGGTACCCCCGAGGCAATTTGCAGGAAATTTGTCAATTGAAGTATGACCCTGAGTAAATGTGGCAATTTTAGGTGGAATAACCAAAATCTTGATGAGAAAGGTACACTTCGAGCAGTCTTCCAGGAGGGACATGACAGTGCGAACCAAAGGTGTACCTGAGCCTGTTGCCTTGTCAGCTAAAGGCACAGCAAGCAATAATTAGAATTAAGTTTAGAATTAGAATTCACTTTATTGTCACGTGTACTCGCGTGAGTAGAGTGAAAAATTTACAAGTCGCCATCTTAGGTACAAAGGCACCTTGGTACGGATTCTTCAGTACAAATTCTTAGGGAAAAAAAATTAGAAAAATGAAGAAATAAGAAGTCCAGCAATAAATTAGAAAAATAGAGAAATAGGAGCTCAGAATAACAGTCCTTCCAAGCCAGAGCGCGCCAGACTTCACCTTGAGGCCAGTAGTCTGAGTCCACGCTGAGGCTGGAAGTCGATAAAATGCTCAACACAAAGAGCTGTGGATGTCTGGGAACCAGCAAAAAAACCAGAGAACCTCAGCAGGGCTGGCAGGATCTGATTTGACGAAGGGTCACTGGGACTCAAGACATTAACTCCCTGTCTGTCTGTCTCTCTCTCTCTCAATAGAAGCTGCCAGACCTGCCGAGTTTCTCGAGCAAAAACTGTTTTTGTTCTCTGCTCATGACGGTGAAAATCAGGGATGCTGAAGAGGTCAGAGTTAGAGCAGTGTAGCTATCCAGGAGGTTAGAGATACTAACTGAGAAAACAAGAGGGAGTTAGGAACATAGGAACAGGAGCCGGCTTTTAACTCCTTGAATCCATTCTGCTATTCAGTGAGATCATTGGATGATCTACGACCTTCGGCCCATATCCTTCAATTTTTGTTGAGCGAAGGTGTTATCTGTCTCTGGTTTAAAATTAACAACTGATTCAGCATCCACTGCGGCTCTTGGAAGAGAGTTCCAAACCTCTCCCAGCCTTTGAGTTGAAAATGAGGATGAGAATTTTTAAATTGAGGCAATGCTTATCAAGAAACGGGTGTTGGAGAGTGAACATAAAGCTAATGGATGATTGGGAATTCATTTACACTGCTCAGTTACAGTCAACATCCATTTTAAAACATTTAATAATCCAATCACATTGATCACTGATTAACCATTACCAGATCAACAGCGTCAATCTTTTGTTTTTGTTTATGGTTTTAACCAATTAGATGGAATGTACTTGAATGTAACTAAAGTTTCCAGACGTGAAATTGGATATTTTGTAATTTTTAAAAGTATCTATCATGGCATGTGGGTGTCGCTGGCTGGGCCCAGCATTTCTTGCCCATCTCCATTTGCCCCTGAGGGGGTGGGGGTGAGCTGCCTTCTTGAACCGCTGCAGTCCATGTGCTGTGGGTTGACCCACAATGCCCTTACGGAGGGAATTCCAGGATTTTGACCCAGCGACAGTGAAGGAATGCCGATATATTTCCAAGTCAGGATGGTGAGTGGCTTGGAGGAGAATTTGCAGGCCGAGGTATTCCCATGCGACCACTATCGAAAATTCTTCAGGTGGGTACAGATGTGGAAGGTGCTCTCACGAGCCTTGGTGAGTTGCCGCAGTGCCATCTTGCAGCTGGTCCACCCTGCTGCCGTTGTGCATTGACGGATAAGGGAGTAAATGTTTGAAAAGGTGAATGGGGTGCCCATTAAATGGGCTGCAGTTTCCTGGGCGGTGTTGGGTTTCTGCTGCAGTTTGAGCTGCACTCATCCAGGCAAGTGGGGAGTATTCCATCACACTCCTGACTAAATGGTGGGTCAGTGCTGGGGAGGCAGGGGGTAAGTATTTGATGCGAGCTTAAAGTAGCAGGTGCCATTTATTGTGCTCCAATGCAGCTTTCAAAACATCAGCCTTCCTGCTGGTGGAACTCACGGCTTTCTCTGTTTCTCCCTCTTTCCCCAGGTATGAAAACCACAGTCAGTGAGGCAGAGCATCCTCTGTTATGTGAAGGTACCAGGAGAGAGAAAGGAGATCTTGCACTTGCCCTGATGATCACATATAAAGATGACCAAGCTAAGCTTAAAAAAGTACGCACAATGACTAGGTCTGTAACGGTGTGGGTTTTACATGTTGCAAATGGGAGCTTTTCTGTGAGTCATTGTTAGGCTAATTTAAGGCACAGAAAGAGACCATTCAGCCCATCAAGTACCTGCTGGCTCTGTCTCAGTGCCCTCACTCAATCCCAATATCCTTCCACGTTTCCTTCCTTCGAGTGCCCATTCGATTTCCTTTTGAAATCATCAATCAGCTCCACTTCCATGACCCTCATTCGCAGCAAGTTTGTTACAACTCAGTGCATTAATGAAATGTCTTCCCTGCGTCTCCCCTGGATCTTTTGCCCAAAATCTCAAGCCTCTGTCCTCTCGTCCGTGAGCCATCCGCTAAAGGGAACAGTTTCCCCTTGTGTACCTTCTCTAAACCTGTTACCGTCTTGCACATGTTTATCAAAAGCCCCTTCATCTCCTTTTGCTCCATGGAGGACAACCCCCAGCATCTCCAACCTGAGCATGGTTGCATTGGTGGCTCATGCGTTCAATTCCTGCCTGCCATGTGGAAGGCCAGGGTTCAATTCCTGGCCAATGCCTAGCAGGCCTTTCTTCCAGGAGTGAAATCAGAAATTGCTGGTAAAACACAGCAGGTCTGGCAGCATCTGTGGAGAGAAAGCAGAGTTACCGTTTCGGGTCCAGTGATCCAGTTCTGAAGAAGGGTTAGGATTAGGATTAGACCCTTCTTCAGAACTGGATCACTGGATCCGGAACGTTAACTCTGCTTTCTCTCCACAGATGTTGTCGGACCTGCTGAGTTCTTGCAACAATTTCTGATTTTGTTTCTGATTTCCAGCATCTACAGTTCTTTGGGTTCTTTGAGGCAGGAGGCCCAAGGGGTGTTCGAGTCTCGCCTGCTCCAAAGGTGTGTAATAACATCTCTGAGCAGGTTAATTAGAAAATACAGCAAGCTTTGTTTTAACCGGCAACTAATGAACTGACACTCTTGATAAACCGGCAAAAATTATATACCTCAAATAACGCAAAGTTTACTGTTTTATTCTGTCCAATTATTATAGTTTTTTAAACTTTATTTACCTCGGTATAAACATACTTTGTTGTTGAATCAAATGGCCACTTGAAATATCAACAGTTGATTCAATTTTGAGTGAATTTCTCCTCAAATATGGTATTATCTGAGTAGTCAGTTGAGGTTGCCATTGAAAAGGCTCTCTGCCAGTAAGATTTATTTAAGGCAAAGTTGCATTATTATTTAAGTGGTTTATACTGTAAATGAAGTGTGACAGTGATGTGTATACCCACTGCGTATACCTTTCTATTCCTTTGTGTGTGTTTTTACACTGACTATCTTCATTATCCAGAATATAATCGACACATTCCTGGTCCCATAGGTTCTGGATGATAAAAAAAAAATTACTGTAGTTTTTTTTCTAGTTAAAATAAACTGGCCATCCCTTAAAAGAGGTTGGCACGTAGGAAATAATTTTATCAAGAAGTCAAATGTTATACATTGTTAACAAAAAGAAATCGAACAAGGTTCTTTGTCAGTGAAATACTTCCATGAGGGACTCTTTGGTAACCTTAACACAATGCCCCCCCACCCCGAGTTAAAACTCAGTCCCATATGCTAACCATCAGTTGTTTTGCTCTGAGCTGTGTGCAGATCAAGTCCAGTAGGTGATGCTGAAACTGGAGCCCCTTAGCAGGTGCCAAATGACTGGTGAGAATTTTAGCCTGTATTATGACACACAGCATGACCCTCTCATTGAGCTTTTTAATTCATGTTTGATCAAACTTCTTCGAAATTGTCGATAACCTACGGTTGCAGAATCTAGGCGTGAGGCAAAAAAAAACCAAAAACGGGCAGGAAATCCTCGGTGAGAGATTGTAAGTATTTTTAACTGAGTGAGTTATTGCAATTCAGATTACACTGAGAAAGGGCAGTGGAACCAGGTTCAGTCATATGCTCTGACCTCGTTGTCCACTGATTTCCTACCCACGCATCAGCACGCTGTCGGTCAGCTCCATTTCAAATTTTTTCGGAGGCTTTGCACTGCACCGAAAAGATTTGAAATACCTGCAAAAAAAGAATTGCAGTTAAAAAGGCCCGAAATGTGGTGTCTGTAGGATGTCCCTGGCTGTTTCCCTCAGCAGAACATGGACTTTTGAAATAGGAAGAACAAGAGGTGACGTTATTGAAACACAAGTTTCAAAGGGGGCTTGACAGGGTAGATTCGGAAAGGCTGTTTCCCATGTGGGAGAGTCCAGGCAACATATCAGAAAAAGAGATCACACATTTGAGACAGAGATGAGGAGAAATTTCTTCTCTAAGGGTGGTATATCTGTGGAATTTGATTTTACTGCAGAGGGCTGTCGAAGCTGGCTCATGAATTATATTCAAGGCTGATGACGATTTTTTTTTTTAATCAGGAAGGGAATCCAGAGTTATGGGAAAGGAAGGGGAAAGGGGAGTTGAGGATGATCACATTGGATGGTGAAGCAGACCTGATGGGCTGAATGGCCTACTTCTGCTCGTAGGTTTTATGGCCTTAGGGCAAAATTTCCTTGGGAGTGCTATTTTGCAAAGGTACGCTGTAGGGCCGAGTGTTTGCAGGGGAACCTATTTTTCAATCAGTGATCTTGTTGTAGATTCTGGACAAGTTGCTGGATAGAGAGAGCCAAACGCACAAACCTCAAACCCTGAGCTCCTTCTATTCCTCGAGCAAGCCGGTTGCTGCCAGTCAGAAATCTCCTTCGAAGCACACGTCGCAAGCAACCACGAATGTCCAGCAGATAACGAGTGCATCATCAACTCCTCAGCAAGCTAGCGTGACAACTCCCGTGCAGAACCCTCCTGCAGAGAACTTTCCAGAAGGAGCCACACAAGGTACGATTTCCTCCATTCTTTCCTGTGTTTTGTTTCTCTTCACCAACTATTCCGTTTATAAACGGTCACAATTCTTTGAAGGCAACGTACTGTTGGTGCTGGAAATTGAAAACAAAGTGTTGGAGAAACTCAGCAGGTCCATGGAGAGAGAAACACAGTTAATATTTTGAGTCCAATATGACTCCTCTTCAGATCTTCAACTCTGAAGAAGAGTTGTAGTGGAGTCAAACTGTTAGCATCCTACAGATGGTGTGAGACCCGCTGAGTTTTCCCAGCGTTCTGTGCGTTTGGGCCCAGTGTTCTAAACAAATATTGCTGGCACCATTTCATAATGCGCTTCATAGATTCACAGAAGTGTAGCAGTGCATAAGAAGGCCATTTGGCCCATTGTGCTTGCACCAGATCATCATACGAGCGTCATTACCTCGTGCCAATCTCCTGCTTTTTCCCACATATCCTTACAAACTATTTTTATCCAAGTAATCATCCACTTCCCCTGAGTACCTCAACTGAATTTGCATCCACTGTACTTCCAGGCAGTGCATTCCACACCCACTTAAACCTGAAATCTCACTGTTCTTGATGGGGCTTGTAATGTGCAAAGGGTCTAGGCTGCTCTTTGGGCCCAGCTTTGTTTTGGGCTCAAAACCAAACCTGTATAAGAAAGGACCACAAGGTGCGGTGGGGTTGGCATTGGTAGAACGTTGGGTTCACTAAGGTGCCAATGTCTCTCTCAATTTCACTTTTAGCTATTTCAATAACATTCACGATGTCTGCATATTTTCCTACCTCCCATTTCTATTTCTAATACAGGAGTTCTGCTATAATGCGGTAGTTGCATTCCTGCGCAACATCGCGTTATAGAAAATCGCCCTATAGAAATAACAGGGCCTTTGGAAAAAGCAGGGTTAGGGGCAGACCACCAAAAAAAATCACTCAAAATCGCTCAAAAGCCTAATGCAAAGGATAGCACAGTTTGAATAAATGTTTAATTCATATCTAATCATGAAATAAAAGTAAATTTAACACCTTACCTTGAAAAAATGTCAATATGACTTGATGGGGGAGGAGGTTTTTGAGGTTGGGCTGTTGTTAATGCAGGGACTGAGGGTTGTCATCATCACCATCATGATCACCTTCAGGTGCAGTTGTGGTTGCAGGGTTAGGGCGAAAAATAGTTAATCCAGAAATTGATTGCTGTGGTTCATTTTCTTCTGACTGTTTCCTGGGTGTTAGCTTAAAGACATCCAGTTTTTGCTGCTTTGCCCTTTTTCTTCTTTCATGAAGAAGCTGTTCATTGGGTGCCAAAGAAGATCTTATTCCACAAACTGCTACCCTACTGCATTCTACATTGTAATTGTTGTCCTCTAACAGCTGCAACTGCTTCTCGATTTCCCTTGGGATAGAAGACAAAACAGAAGTGGAAAGCTCTTGTGCTGCATCCTGGACTTCATCTTCTTCATCTCCAGCTTCCACTTCCCCCTCAGCCACAAGTTGCTGTAGACCAACTGTAGACAGGTTTTCACAGTGAGACTCAAGCAGCTCTTCAACATTCTCACTCTCCACTTCTTCAAATCCAACTTGCTTTGCAAGATCAGCACAATGATGTTTGATTTTTCGGAGCTCATCTGATGGATCAAAGGTGTTAAAATCTTGAAAAAAATCTGGGAGATGTTTCCGCCAAACTGCATGCAAGCTGTCCGTACTGACATCACCCCAGGCCTCCACGATAACGTCAATTGCATTCTTGATGTTAAAGCTCTTCTAAAATTGAAGAACACTGTCCTTATGCCCCTCAGTGGCTGCAATCAGCCTCTTAAATGTGTGTCTTAAATAATAAGCTTTAAAAGCTGATATTGCATCCTGGTCCAGGGTTTGAAGGAGAGAGGTTGTGTTTGGGGGTAGAAATAGCACTTTGATATTTTCAGGAAGTTCACCAATAGTGGGAGGATGGCTTGGCACATTATCCAGGATGAAGAGAATCTTGAAATCCAAGCTTTTTTTTTCCTGCAATACTTTCTAAAAACATCTTGCAAAGCATCAACAACAAGGCCATCGATGGAATTGCATTAAAGCCAACACAAGTTTGTGTTTTAGAAATAGCGTTCCCCTATTCGTCAGTCGCATTATAGCCAATTTGCTTTGCTGGAACGTGCATTATAGCAGGACCCCCTGTATTTTTGCTCATTTATGCACCTAACATGGGTTCCACATCACCTTAAAGTCACGCCAGGGTATTTATTATCTTAGTTGGCAGTAAGAGTATAGGAGGCTATGGGGGAGGTTGGAGTTGACGCTGAGCTGGAATTTGGAAGGTCATGAGGCATAGGAAGTGCACATGGGGTATGGATCTTTTGAACTCACCTGTCAGAAGGTTACTGAATGCCATACCATGGAACGCAACTCATCTGAAGGGCTCTCAACCTTGAGTCATAGAAAAACTGGCCAGACCTGATGAAAGCAGGGTTTGGGGTATAAACAAGAAATGCTGCAAATTCATAGAAGCAACATGCTGTGGTTGGTGGAAATCTGAAATAAAAATGGTGGTGGAGGGGGTCACAGCTTCATCAGAAGATGCCCCGCCTCCTGTGGTATTAGAATTGAATTTAACTTGATGAAATTCCTGTGGAGCATTCCACCACTGTTAAAGGTGCTACATCACTGCAAGTTGTTGTTGTACAGCACGTGTACGGCTTAGGGTTTGCAAAGCACTTGTTTAGCCTGGCATGCGACATGGGGGCCAGTGTCAGAGAGAGGGAACAGCCTTAACAAGTTTGCATTGTTTCACTGCTGGGAAGGAGAAAGGGTAAAATAGCCAACGTTTTGGATAAAAATTGCAGCAGCTGGTTGGGATGCTCTTCGGTGCAGACTCGATGGGCCAAAAAGGTGGCCTCATTCCGCACTGTAGGGATTCTGTGACTAGCAACCCAATAGACCTTCACTTTCAGAAAGTGACCAACCACTTCACTGTTCAGGCATCTTGCGCATTCATGGAACCATCCCCTCATTGTAGGCACTACCGGAGCTTGTACTATCCTTGTGCATCATGAGCTAAAGTGAATTGTGTAGTACTTTATTGGATTGGATTGCATGGTACCCATCATGTAGTGAGAAACAGCCCGGTTCTCGCATTTGATCAGTGCTAACACTGGCATTAGAATAAACGTCTCATTACTTGCAAGGAAGTCCCAGTGCAATCAATCGTTTCTGGATTGGAGATGATCCCACGACGATATGCTGCTGGAACTAAAAATTTTGTTGTAAATGCTTGACACCATAATTGTAACTTAAACAAATAGTGGGAAATGGTACATCACTGCAAAGCTAAAAAGGTGTTTTGGCTGCAACAGTTGCGTGTAACTGCTTTCCCATTGGGAGTTGCGTTGGCAGTGGCGGGTGGCCAGGATGACTCAGCTCCTGTACATGCAGTGCAGAGCATGTGGTGCCTTCTGTAGCAGCAAGAGCTTAAGGTAGTGCAAGCTGCCTTCACGCGGCAAGGTCTATATTCAGCTGTTTGTGCCAGCAATGTGCTTTGGGAGTGCTTAGCACTTTCCACTTTGTGCTAGCTCCTTGGCAACGCTGTGAAACCAGTCCCAGGAAATAACAAGGGCACGTCACAGACCCAGTGATGAAATGTGTTGCTCAGCCTCTGGAGATTGCTGCTAGGGTCGGCTCCTTGATAAGATTGAGAGCCTGGTGGAGTGGACCAAACCTGGCCTAGGGTCTTTGTATTGTGTATCACTAAAGGGTCAGGTAAAGTCGCTACAATTTTACCAGACCATAGTCCCACACTCTCATTAGACCGAGACAACTGGTGGTGGTTTAACCTGAGGGTCACCACGCCTCAGGCGAGGGGAGAGGTCGGGAAGGAGAGCCCTTTATGATAACCTCAGCTGCTGCAGGAATGGAACTCACACTATTGGTGTCACCCTGTATCACCAGTTGTCCAGTCAACTGAGCTAACTTGGCTCCCTGTGCACCAAACTGGATGCACAAAAATTCACTCGGGAGCAGAGCATTTTAAATAGGTGCTCAGCTGACACTTCAGGTCAGCACTATTTATGTTGGTCAGGTTGAAATTGGCGATTCATTGGGGACACTATTATAGGGAACTGCTAAGGGGGAATTATTGTAAACTTGAAAGGAGTTTCCCCAAACACATTTTGGAAGAATTGACTTCATTGAAATTATATACTGACACTGGTTTTCCTCTTTCGCTTGGATTGAAACAAATCCCTATTAAGGCCATTCTGCCCATCAAGACTTGAGCTTCCTGCAACTCCAGAAATTATTCTCACCGAGTCATACAGCACAGAAACAGACCCTTGAACCCACAGTCCATGCTGAATATAATCCCCAACTGAACAGAAAATGGAACCAACAGCAAAGGGGATTGTTAGGCCTTACAAGGTAGTGCACTGGTCATTAAACTGAACAGAACAGGTCCTGACCCGTATCCCTCCAAACCTTTCCAAATCATGTACTTACCTAGATATCTTTCAAACATTGTAACTGTACCTGCATCCACCACTTCTTTAGGAAGTTCATTCCACATGCGAACCACTGTGTAAGAAATATCCCCCTCATGTCTTTTTAAAATCTCGCTCCTCTCACCTTAAAAATGTGCCCCTCAGTCTTGAAATCCCCCACTGTAGGGAAAAGACGTGTGAAGCAAACTGTGAGAGAAGTTTCCTAATATTTAGATTTCGCTTGAGCAGGGCCTGATAAAACAGATAGGGTTGCTAATTTTTAATCAGAAGCTTCCTTTCTATGGATCTTCATGTACAGTGCCTCCTGGATGTAAATCAATTTGCTCTTAAAGTTATAGATATTTTGCTCTGAGTTCCCCTTTAAAGTGTCTCTTTGATATTACTGTGTTAACTCATTCACATTGTTGCATTTCCCTCCTGTAAAAACTTGAATCCAAATCTCGGGTGAGGGGAAATGGTGAACGTTTTACCTAAAAGCAGGTTGATGGGTAGATGCAAGAATATGAGACACTCGTCTTTATTTGTCGAGGCATCGAAAACAAGAGCAGGAAGGTAATATTGGAGCTGTATATAAGGCTAGGTAGTTAGCTGGATGTGGCATGCAGTTCTGGTCACCACACTATAGGAAGGATGTGATTACACGAGAGAAGGTGCAGAAGATACTCACCAGGATGTTTCTTGGCCTGGAGTGATTCAGCTATGAAGAGAGACTAGACAGACTGGTGTTGTTTTCCTTAGAACAGAGAACGCTGGGGGGGGGGGGGGGGGGGGGCACCTGATTGAGGTGTACAAAGTTCTGAGGGGCATAGACAGGGTGGATACTTGCCCCTCAGTGGAGGGGTCAATAATCAGGGCACACCGTTTTAAAGCAGGAGCAGGAGGTTTAGACGGGATTTAAGGAGAATCTTTTTCACTCAGTGGGTTGTGAGTATGTGAAGACGCACTACTTGATAGGATGGTGGAGACGATATTTAGATGAATACTTGATAAACCGTAGCATACAAGGCTACGGACCAAGTGCTGACCAGTGGGAGATGAATCGATGGACGTTTAATGACCAGTGCACTACCTTGTAAGGCCTAACAATCCCCTTTGCTGTTGGTTCCATTTTTGACAGCTACTTTCAGAGTATCGCCTCGAGCTGCTACAGCCTGTCATAGCTTGTGGCCTGTATTCGGTTTGCCATGAAGACTGTTTCTATCCATTTCCCCAGAGGCTGCCTCATGCCTCTGCATGTGTTGATGCTACCCTTGTTCACCTCATTGTCTTCTCTAGACGTGCTTTGCTTTCAGTCATTTACCTGGATTTCGGTTTCCGTGAGCATCTGATCCAAAACTCTGCAGCCGACTCGAAAGAGTTGTGCTAACGGACCACCCCTGAGCTTTCTGATCAAACCATTCACTCCCAAACCCCTGACATGGCAACATTAAAATTGTTTGGGGCCCTGCTTGACCTCACATCTCTCTTCTCTATGTATCTGCCACCCCAAAATTCTACATTGCCCTGACCCTAGGTCCTTGTGTCATAGAATCACAGAGCCATACAGCATGGAAACAGACCCTTTGGTCCGACTAGTCCATGCCAACCAGATATCCTAAATTAATCTAGTCCCATTTGCCATCATTTGGCCCATATCCCTCTAAACCCTTCCTATTCATGTACCCATCCAGATGCCTTTTAAATGTTGTAATTGTACCGGCCTCCACCACTTCCTCTGGCAGCTCATTCCATACACGCACCACCCTCTGCGTGAAAACATTGCTCCTTAGGTCCCTTTTAAATCTTTCCCCTCTCACCTTAAACCTATGCCCTTCTAGTTTTGGACTCTTCCACCTCAGGGAACAGGGAAAAGACCTTGGCTATTCACCCTATCCATGCCCCTCTTAATTTTACAAACCTTTTTCAGGTCACCCCTCAGCCTCCGATGCTCCAGGGAAAATAGCACCAGCCTATTCAGCCTTTCCCGATGAGGTCAAACCCTGCAACCATGGCAACATCCTTGTAAATCTCTTCTTAACCCTTTCAAGTTTCACAACATCCTTCCCATAGCAGAGAGACCAGAATTGCACGCAGTATTCCAAAAGTGGCCTAACCAACGTCAGCCTCAACATGACCTCCCAACTCCTATACTCAATGCACTGACTAATGAAGGCAAGCATAACAAACACCTTCACTACCCTATCTCCTTGCAACTCCACTTTCAAGCAATTATGAACCTGCACTGCAATGTCTCTTTGTTCAGCAACACGCCCCAGCACCTTACCATTAAATATATAAGTTCTGCCCTGATTTGCCTTTCCAAAATGCAGCACCTCACATTTATCTAAATTAAACTCCATCTGCCAGTCCTTGGCCCATTGGCCCATCTGATCGAGATCCCGTTGTATTCTGAGGTAACCTTCTTTGCTGTCCATTACACCTCCAATTTTGGTGTCACATGCAAACTTACTAATCATACCTCCTATGTTCACATCCAAAACATTTATATAAATGACGAAAAGCAGAGGACCCAGCATCAATCCTGTGGCACACCCACTGGTCACAGGCCTCCAGTCTGAAAAGCAACCCTCCACCACCATCACCCTCTGTCTTCTACCTTCAAGCCAGCTCTGTATCCAAATGGCTAGTTCTCCCTCTATTCCGTGTGATCGAACCTTGCTAACCAATCTACCATGAGGAACCTTGTCGAACGCCTTATTGAAGTCCATATAGATCATGCTCCCAACTCTGCCCTCATCAATCCTCTTTGTTACTTCAAAAAACTCAGTTGAGTTAGTGAGATGTGATTTTCCATGCACAAAACCATGTTGTCTATCCCTAATCAGTCGTTACCTTTCTAAATACATGTAAATCATGTCCCTCAGGATTCCCTCCAACAACTTGCCAACCACTGAAGTCATGTTCACCGGTCTGTAGTTCCCTGGCTTTTCCTTATCACCTTTCTTAAATAGTGGCACCACGTTAGACAAACGCCTTGTGTCATAGAGTCACAGAGCCATGCAGCGCAGAAACATCTTCGGTCCATCTAGTCCATGCCAACCAGATATCCTAAATAAATCTAGTCCTATTTACCAGCATTTGGCCCATATCCCTCCAAACCCTTCCTATTCATGTACCTACCCAGATGCCTTTTAAATGGTGTTATTGTACCAGCCTCCACTACTTCCTCTGGCAGCTCATTCCATACACACACCACCCTCTGCGTGCCAGTCTGCTGGCATCTCACCTGTTCCCCTCTCTTTAATTTTTCGTGGTTACCAACGTGGGGAGCTCCACAACTGCAATGATGCGATTGACTCTTAAATTCCCCCTGGGGATTGGCAGTAAATGGTGGTCTAGCTGGGGATGCTGACATCCCAGGAACCAATTTTTAAAAAGTGAAAGTGCACATCTTGCGCAAGGATGGATTTAAGGTTTGCTGACCTCGCCGTTCAGAAAAGTTTGTACGTCCTACCGATGTCTGCCAAACAGGTTTGCACCTTGGGATATATCTGTCATGTGTTTAGTAATGGGATTTTGTCAAGTGATCCAGTTCTCAGGAGTTGCCATGGGAATAGTCAATTCTTCCCATTGGCAGGCCTGAGGACCATGCCCGTCCAATGGTTACTGATTTCACCCTCACATATAGATGGCAATTTTTTTTTCTCATGCATAGGTCTGTGTGGAGCTAAGTTAGCGTTCAGATCACGGTGTGTAGCATCAATGTTGGAAAGGAAGTGGAGCAATTTAATTGAGATAAAGTTAGCTTTTAATCCCAGATTTATTTCCCAGGGAGTTAATTCAAGTGCCTTTAATAAAGAAGACTATGCACCTGTTTTGTTACAGTGATATGGTATGACCCATCATGCATTGGGTGTAGTGAACTTGTTACTGTTGGTACTTGATGCACAGGCTCAAAGCACTTTCACTTGAATTTTTTTTCAATCTAGTGTCGGATGGTTCCTTTAATTCGCAAAGTCAGTCACAACGCCTATTATCTCACTCTGTATTTCACTGTCAGTTCTGTGCTCATTTGACTTGCATTGGCTCCCAAACAAGCACTGTCTTGATTTTAAAGTTCCCGTCCTTGTTTTCAAATCCAAAGGCAAAGTCTTGCCCATTGCTACCTCTGTGAAGACTCTCCTTTAGACTTGCACCCTAGATCCACACTTTGGTCCATCTAAATCCAATGTGGCTTCAAGTGTGCTGGTCTCTCGTGTTTCCTTTTGGCTCTCCAGTGGAATATTTCAGGAATTTTCATTATTTAAGGGTGCAGCACTGGTATAGGTTGTTGAATGTTTGTACTTTTGTGTCTGTGCAGTGTGTGACTGTGGTGTCTGGTGTGTGTAGGAAAGGTAGGATTTTGTTCCAGACTAGCTTAAATCCATCAGAACAAGGGTGACAAACTTGTCTTGTGTTGCAGTTGCATTCAAAGTGTCACTGTATCTTTTGTTATCCTATATTTAAAAATAGATTTTTTTTGAATAATAATTAAACCAGGAAAGGAGATTTCAATAGGAGTCTTTCAGGTGTACATTTCAGGAGTAGTGAATATATTTTGTGAGGCTGCAGCTTTCGAACAGTGATGGTTTCATGCATTTTAAAGAGTATCCAGAGACTTAAACTCAGGGAACACTTTTTCATTTCACAGCATCTTGGAGCTGCAGCTTTTACAGAAAATGTGAAACATCCTCATTGTCAAGAAAATGTTACTGAGTTTGCTTAAGACGCAATTTTAATACTACAGGGAATTGAATTGATATGGCAATAGTTTAATTTTTATTCAAATGATCAATATTGAGGATAACGGATGGATTTTGGAATTTTTGTATCATTATCCCCATTTAACAGTTGTTGCTTTGGCTAACTTGGCTGAATGCTACCTTCTCTTGGAAAGGGAATTTTGCAAGTGCTGTCTGTTTTTACTGACCTGCGTGTGCTTTTCGCTTTCATCCACAGAGAACGTTCAGCGCACCCCCAGCGAGACTCCGAGTGATTCGGGCACTTTCAAACAGGAGGGTAAAATCCCAAGCCGATTGACCCTCGGCACCAGGGGGGGATACAATGGACGGTGCTGGGGATCACCAGTCAGGCAGAAGAAGAAACACACAGGTAGGCCTGAGGCTGCTGCTGCTCTCTCTCTCTCTCTCTCTCCCCCCCATCCGATCGCCTCCCTTTTCTTTGTGATGTTCTCCCAGTAGCCAGAACTGCTAGTGACTTTAAGGCAGTTTTTAAGAAAAAGCACAACTCTTGGACTAGCAGAACGCTCTGTAATTTTAACTACCCTGGAGTCAGTGCTCCATTTTTAACTCCATCACAAGCTAACCTTACAATTTCAGTTGTTGTGTGAGCAATATAGAGAAACGTGAACATTGTCTACTGACTACCTGTGCCCTTGATTTCCCAATTTTCACGGTTTTCAGAAAGGAGAGACAAAGATGTATGTGTGGTGAGGATCTTACGGTCTCAGTGGCAGTTAATAATAAAAAAAAGTAATTGTTTAAATTGTCTTATCTCTACTCCCACCTCCTCCTCCTCCTCACCCCGAAAGAAAACATGTTCTAAGTTTTCTCAGAGGCGGTGAAATGAGTCAACCTTCCTCAGCATTTAACGTGGCTGATTGTGAGTTTTGAAAGTAAAATCAGCCAGAGGTGGGAGGTCAATGGGACCAAGAACGATGTTGGATCTCGTTCCATGTGCAATTTGACTGAAAATTTCCTGGTTGAGTTCAGGACTGGGAATTTTGCAAATCGTTCACGTCCCCTTTACCTGCCCTATCCATCACCTGACCAATCGTAGCCCCATTTTTAAAAAAAATTTTTTTTTTTAATCCCTACAGTGTGGAAACAGGCCCTTCGGCCTAACGAGTCCACACCGACCCTCAGAGTTTCCCACTCAGCCCCACCCTCCAACAACCCACCTAATCTACACATCCCTGAGCACTATGGGCAATCCACCTAACCTGCACATCTTTGGACTATGGGAGGAAACGGGAGCACGCGGAGGAAACCCACGCAGACACGGGGAGAATGGGCAAACTCCACATTTCCTGAGTGCGGCCTGGATTTGAACCTGGAGCCATCGTGGATTGTACAGTTTTTGGTTTAATTCCTTCCTGCAGTATATGTGCTGCTGTTGAGGCTTTCTGCTGTCCTTGAACTGAGTGCATTGCCAGGTCATTTGAAGTAAGAGTCAACCACATCGCTGTGGGTCTGGAGTCCCATGTAGGCCCGACAAAGCCAGGACAGCAGATTTCCTTCCCTGAAGGATTTCAGTGAACCAGATTTTTTTTTTTTTTTTTTTTTTAAAACAATCGATGATTGATGGCTCATCATGAAATTGTTACCGTTGCTGAGTTGTTTTGGGATTTGAACCCATGACCCCAGGATATTAGCCTGAGACTTTGACCATAAGGCAGAGGAGCAGATGTAGGCCATTCAGCCCACCGAGTGTGCTCTGCCATTCTGTGAAATCATGGCTGATCTGATAATCCTCACCACTACATGGCTGGTCTCCCGAGTCAAAAACAGAAATTCCTGGAAAAAGCTCAGCAGGTCTGGCAGCATCTGTGGAGAGAAAGCAGAGTTAACGTTTCAGGCCCAGTGACCCGCACTCAGAACTGGCTCTATTCCTGCCCTGCGCCACCCCAGTATGTTCAGTCAGTGAATTATTGAGCAGCCCGTTCAGCTGATTTCAAAAGCTTATTGTCTTGTTTGCTAATCTTGAAGCTGCCTAAGTTGTTCAATTTTCTTTGAAGAGATTTCCAAGAGCCACAATGTATTAAAAATGCTCAGGCACTTGTGATTGCTTTTCCATTCAGTTATAAGCCCCCAGCCACCGAAAGAACAGGGTTTCTCCGTCCTCCCTCTCCTCTATCTTCATGAGTGACTATGTGAGACTAGGAGAATGCAGCCAGTTTGTTTTATGTCATGGTCCGCCACTGTTTAGATTCTCTCATCACACTGAGGTGTCCATTGAGTTTTAGTCTTTCCCATTTATTTTCTGGCAAAAATATAAATTAACGTTTGACGGTTTCTTTTAATGGCTGGTGAATTTTAAGGGGCTTTTAGATTAATGCTGCCTGTGGACGGTTTGGTTTATACACACCACTACTGTAGATGACAGTAACGCGAAAATCTGTTGTTGACCATCTTTCTTCCATGTAAAATATCCTTTCTCAGGCGACTCCACCTTTAATCTCACTTGCATAATGATCTCCGTCTGTTGATGCTTTCTTGTATTGGAGGCCTGAAGTAGCAGTGTGGAAACAGGCCTGTGTTACACTCCACCTACATTTCTAAGCTCCTCTCAACTATGTCTTGTTGGATTGCATCTCCAATTAAGTGAGAACCTGGTATTTTGATGATGTCTATGAATGTTTTCATCTCTAACTACAAGATTAATGACCTGATAATGGTACAATGGATGATGGTACTCTATCCTAGAGTACATTCTATTACGTTATGGACGGCACAGTGACTCAGTGGTTAGCACTGCTGCCTCTCAGCGCCAGGGACCTGGGTTCAATTTCACCCTTGGGCAGCTGTCTGTGTGGAGTTTGCACATTCTCCCCATGTCTGTGGGTTTCCTCTAGGTGCTCCTGTTTCCTCCCACAGTCTAAAGATGTATAGGTTAGCTTAGGTGGATTGGCCATGCTAAATTGTCCTGTAACGTCTAGGGATGTGCAGGCTAGGTAGATTGGCCATGGGAAATGCAGGGTTGCAGGATGGGCCGCTGGAATGGCCTCTTCCTGCACAGCAATTTACAAATTTTATTTTATTTTATTTTTATTTACAAATGTTAATTATCAGACCTTTAGAACTGTGTGGTTTGGTGATGTGACTCAATGAGCTGAGTTAAAAACTGGATTTACGTGAAAATATTTGATACTGTAATACTTCCATAAATCTTTTTTCAGTGTTTCCATCCTCAGTTGGCTGAGAAAATCCTTGACTAGTCCATTTGGAATAACTGCTTTCATGTCAGTTCTATTCCCCGAAATCAAATAGCTTTATTGCTCTTTGAATAGATGCCTTCCCATCGTCATCTTTTTTTTTAGAAACTGCTCTCTGGAGCTTTTACTTTCATTCTGTTACAGAACGCTGGCTTATTTGAGTCACCTCTGAATTTCTGACCCACAACTAAACCAAGACATAAAAGTTTATATGCACATTCAAGAACAGCTTTTTCCCCTGCTGTTATCAGACTTTGGAATGGACCTCTTTAATATTAATGGTGATCGCTCTCTGCACTTTCTCAGCAGCTGTAACACTGTATCCTGCCCTCTGTTCTGTTACCCTGATGCACTTGTATAGTACGGTCTGCCTGTAAAGCATGTAAGACCATACTTTTCACTGTACCTCGGTACACGTGACAGTAATAAATCAAATCGATGCTAATTGACTTGACTTTGCTGCGATAGTACAGGGTTTAGCTGTGCCACCTAATATTGAAAAGATGTGGTTTTGTAACAAGATGACAGGCAGCCTCAGCCAAACCCATCTATGGAGGGCTAAATGCCTTTAACATGACTGGAACAGTTTTGCAGCGTATTGGTTTAATTATAAACATAATCTACATCCAGTTACATTGTTTTGTTTCAATCACAAAATGTCTGTTTGGACTTTGATTGATTGGATCGGGAGTAATGCAGATTGCAGTCGCTCTCCGTGCTACCGTATCTGTTGCCAATTTGCCTCAGCTGTTGCGATTTGTACTGGTTTCATTGTCTGTGACAGCCATGATGGAGTGACAAGACACTGAAATTACAGAATTGTTACAGAAGGAGGCCATTCAGCCCATCATATCTGCACTGGTGTTTTGACTTGGTGCAGTTCTTGATGATTTGATTTATTGTAGTCACATGTACCTAGGTACAGTGAAAAGTTTTGTTTTGCGAGCAGTACAGGCAGATCGTAGCAAACAAGGACATACAGATGCTTAGATAGGGTGCTTAGGGCGCTTAGACAGAGCGAGGGATACAAGGTTACAGCTGCACAGGAGGTGCACAAAGCACCTTATTTGGTGCACATTAAGGTGCACATTATTTGAAGTTCTCCAGCACTTTCCCCAGACCCTTGTTTCTATTCAAGTAATCATTCAGTAACCACCCAACTGACTCCGCCTCCACCTGACTTTGGGTTAGTGCATTTCAACATCCAAACCCTTTGCTGTATGGAGAAAAGATATTTTTCTCATGTGACATTTGCTGTATTTGCAAAATTTCTTTAAACCCGTGCCCTTTTGTTCTTGATCCTTTTGCAAGTGGGGACAGTTTCTCCCTATCCAGATCTCATGATTTTGAAAAACCTCCATTGGATCTCCTCTTAGCTGCCATCTCTCCAAGGAAATCAGTCCCAAACTTCCCAATGTACCCTCATAACTGTTGCCTTCCTCCTTGGAATGGTTTTTGTACATCACTTCTGCACCCTCTCGTGTGCGTCCTTCCTGTATTGTGACACCCAGAATAGTACACAATACTCCAGCTGACCCAAATTCTCTTACATTGGGATCAAAGGGTGTGGACTGGAAGGAGGAACAGGCTACTGAGATGAATGATCGGCTCTGATCATGTTGAATGGTGGAACCAGCTCAAAGGGCTGAATGGCCTACTCCTGCACCTATTTTCTATGTTGCTATCGCTTTTTAACTTCGTTATCTCAGTGGAGAATTTGTACTTAACGAATTGGGTGTTTTCTTCTATTTGAATGTGACAATATATTGACATGGACCAGATCAAACCTCTCAAAATGTTCAAAAGAAAGCCGAGACCCTAACATTTCCTTGTTTTAAAGGTAAATGTAAGGTGTTGTGTTCCAGATGCAATTTGATTGGTCAAACTACTGAATTTAAAGCAAAATATATTTTATTCATCCATTATAGTTAAAATACAGCAAACGAAAAAAGGAATTCAAATACTTAACTCTAGTAATAGTTACTGTATCTACTATTCTGTTAATAATTAACTGTTCCAATATATTAACATCCCATAAACACACCCTTGGCAAAAAGGCAAATTCGGAAAACAGATTGTCTCACATGTAACTCCATTAGCAAGCAGAGAACTCCCCAGCTTTTGGCTATAACTGAGAGAGGGGATAAAATAGCTTCCATTTCTTCAAGACCCCAGCAGCAACTGCTGAAAGCTAAAACTGAAGATCCTGGTTCTGTAGGAGCTTGACCACACCCCTTCAGGCTGCTTCTGTTGTTCCAAATTTTTAAAAAAACAAACTCTTGAGGCCTCACAAACTGTTTACTGGAATGGTTCTGGTAGACTGCTCGCTCCCTCTATCTTAAAACCAGGACAAAATACTTTTCTTAAAAAAAAACTTAAAGCCAGTGCGTTGTTCAATATGGATTGTGGCGTGTTAAATTTGATCACATCAGCTTATTATCTTCAAAAGGGATACATGGCACCCAAGTTCCTTTGGCATTTGATTGTCCTAAAATTGAGTCTCCAAGGACTAGCAGGGAGCTGGAACCAGCACTTAGGACTGGATGGGCACAGGTTTGGCTACATGCTGCTGGCATGTTTGAGTTTGTAATCGCTGTTCAGTCACCCACACGGAGGGGAGAACACACTTCCCTTTTATTTTCCATACCTTTCTCTGCCAGGAATGGCCAGCATCGACAGCAGTGCTCCCGAGACCACCTCGGACAGCTCCCCCACCCTGAGTCGCCGGCCTATCAGGGGGAGCTGGGCAGCTGCGTCCTGGGGCAGAGGGCAGGACAGCGATAGTATCAGCAGCTCGTCCAGCGACTCGTTGGGGTCATCGTCCTCCAGCGGCAGCCGGAGGGCCACTGGAGGAGCTCGCACCAAAAGCACAGACGTCGGGAGGTAATATCGAAGCTCAACTCCTTTGTTTTGGGCGGGGTGGGGAGCAGAGATTTAACCTTGCTTTCGTTTCCAGCTCTTGCTATTGTTCGTAGTACTACTTGGAATTTGCCGCACAGGAAAGGGTCATTAGGACCAACTTGTCTATGTCATTGTTTATCCTTCACATATACCACTGCGCACCCTTTTTTATTATCAAACCCTCCAAGCCCATCTTTCTGTTCCTATCTCCCTCTTACACTTATCTAGTTCTGTTTGTCACTAAAGTGCTGCTGTGTCAGTTTCTATCAGGTAACAATCCTGTGAAGCGCCATGGCATGTTTAACTATTCTGAAGGTGCCATGCAAATGCAAAGTTGTTTTTGTGCACCTTGGAGCTCAGCCAGTCAGAGGGCTGTTGTCAGGCAGAATTTCCTTATTGCAAAAGATTCTCATTCCACTCAGTCTCGAAGACTCCCTTTCACTGCTTTTGAAAGCAGCATGATAAAATACAACTCAGCAGTATGCAGCACTTGTCTTCATTTGTAAAGTTGCAAAATTCTCTTGGTGTTTCAGGTGTAGCGCTTCAAAGTCCAAAATGGTTTATAATCCCATAAAAGAAAATATGTGGCCTTTCATAAGCCTAAAAAAAATGGCTTTACCTCCAGCAAGAGCACCAAACTAAGACGAGATAACTCAGTTTGGTAATCTGAGATAATATTCTGCATCTAACTCATTACTACAATGTTCCATTCTCCTGTAGAAGTGGATATTAAGCTTAGGGGATGCTGAAAGTATTAATGTCAGAAAGAAAGAAAGATGTTCAATCAAAATGATCAAAATATCAAAGACGCTGGCTGAGGTCATAGGGCAAACATTGGTTGAAGAAGCTGTTAGATGCTGTGATTCGCTGCATAGGAGGGTGAGCGTGTTTAGGGGAAGACATATTTTGGTGGATGAGGTTCAGTGGGCAAAGTGACTACTCATTCAGAGATAGTAAGAACTGCAGGTGCTGGGGTCTGAAATAACACAGTGTGGAGCTGGAGGAACACAGCAGGTCAGGCAGCATCAGAGGACCAGGAAAGCTGACGTTTCGGGTCGGGACCCTATTCATTTTGTCTTTGCCCTGTGAACGGCAAAAACTTGATATGAGAAACAGTTTAGGTCATTAAACCCACTACCCTCCCATTGTCTGTTCGTGACAAGCCCTCTTAATTGAGATTTAAGCCCTCTGCCTAATTTTAATGCTTAATTGATATGAAACATGGGGGATCGATTGTTCTAGGTGCATTCCCATGGTAACACATTAACCGATCAGGGTCCTCTTGCCAACCAATCAGCATCCTTCTGTGATGCAATATAAATTGTTATTCCTTTTGAGATTTGGCATTCTTGCATGTGTCCTGATGAGCGAGACCAAAAGTTCCGACAACATGTCTCTCCCAGCAATATTCATTTTCTACAGACTATTTGACAATGTTTATTAGGTGTGAGTATTAAGGGTTACAGAACCAAGAGTGGGTGGATGGAATTGAGATGCACATCAGGTATAACTAAATTGAGTAGATATTTATGAGGTGCTAATTAGGGGACACAGGTTAAAAATAAGACAGAAATGAGAAGAAATCTTTTCTTTCAGAGGATTGGGTGTTTATGGAGGCCACTCTTTCCCAGAAGGTGGTGGAGGCAGAATCATCGAGTATTTTGAAGGCCAGGTTAAATTCTATTGGCTGAGGTTACCATGAAGAACTCTCCTTCTTAACCTTACCCCTTGCCTGAGGCACAGTGACCCTCAGGTTAAACTGCCACCATTGTGACTCTTTCTCTCTCAAATGAGAGAGCAGCCCTATGGGACTATGGTGACAGTTTTAGATAGATCCTTAACTGGGCGAGGAATCAGACTATTGGGGTTAGACAAAAAAGTAGAGTCTACAATCGGAGCTGCTGTGTTCATGTGGTGTAGTGGAGCAGGTTCGAGGGGCTGAATGGCCTACTCCTGCTCCTAGCTTGGATGTTCATTTAGAGCCTTTGTATTCCTGCTTTTTACCATTTAGCAATGCTACATGATGGGAGAGCATCTCTGTTTGAATTGTACCGAAGCTATTCTTGCATGTGCTCAATGCATGACTTTTTTTTTGGTTTGTTCCCCCTTCCAGGTACAAAGGCAGACGCCCAGAATGCCACGCTCCCCATGTACCCAACCAGCCGTCTGAGGCGGCTGCCCATTTTTACTTTGAGCTAGCGAAGACGGTCCTCATCAAAGCAGGAGGCAACAGCAGCACATCCATCTTTACCCATCCTTCAGCCAGCGGAGGTCACCAGGGTCCCCATCGCAACCTCCACCTCTGTGCATTTGAAATTGGGCTGTACGCACTGGGCTTGCACAACTTTGTGTCGCCAAACTGGCTTTCAAGAACCTACTCTTCCCACGTCTCCTGGATCACAGGTTTGAGGGAGCAAAACTAGTGTATTAATCTCTTCAAATCAACAGCCAATCATACTTCTGTATTGCAATATAAATTGTTGTTCCCTTTGAGACTTGGCATTCTTGCATGCGTCCTGATGAGTGAAACCAAAGGGTCTGACAGCATGTCTCTCTCAGCAATATTCATGTTCTACAGAGACAATTTGACAATTTTTATTAGGTTGTGAGTATTAGGGGTTACAAAATCAATCAATCAGACACAAATTGTGTAATGCTCTGCTCCCAAGAGGTCAACCTGAAGCAGGGTTTCTCAGCACTGTGGATAGTTTCATTGTATATCGGTCCATTGTGTTGACCTATTTTTTTCGCTCCGTGTGCAAAGGGAGCGCATTCAAAGTTGAACAAAAATGTTCAAAAGTTCCCTGGTGCGTTCGCCATAGCGACACTGTGACCAATCAGAGTCACCATGCCTTACCCACCAACACCCTTCTCTCAAAAATAATTTATTTGCTCCTTTGAAATTTGGCATTCTTATGGAGACAGAGAGAGCTACAGCACAGAAAAGGGCCCTTCGGCCCATCATGTTCATGCTGGTCAGAAACAACACCCTAACTATTCTAATCCTATTTACCAGCTCTTGGCATTGCAAGTGCACATCTAAATACTACTTCAGTGTGATGAGGGTTTCTGCCTCCACCCACCTATTACAGGCAGTGAGTTCCAGATTCCCACCACCCTCTGAGTGAAAGGGTTTTTCATCATATCTTCTTTTAAGCCTCCTGCCCCTTATCTTCAATCCATGTGCCCAGTCATTGATCGCTCCATCAAGGAGTTTCTTCCTGTCTACCCTATCTATGCCCCTCATAATTTTATACATCTAAATCATGCCCCCCCCTCCCCCACCCCGGCTTCCCTCAGTCTCCTCTGCTATAAGGAAAATAACCCCAGTCTGTCCAATCTCTGTTCATAACTGAAACTGTCCAGTCCAGGCAACATTCTGATAAACTTCTTCTGCACTCTCTCCAGAGCTATCACATCCCTCCTATAATGTGGCTTCCAGAACTGCCCGCAGTACTGTTAGCTATGACTTAACCAATGTTTTATACAGTTCCAGCGGAACCTCTCCGCTCTTAAATGCTATGTCTCAGTTAATAAAGTTAAGTGCTCCTTCTTAACCACTTTATCCATCAGTCCTGATATCTTAAGGGACTGGTGCATATGGATACTAAGATCCTGCTGATCCTCAGTGCTTCTCAGGGTCCTGCGTATTCATTATTAATTTCCTTGCCTTGTTTGTCCTGCCCAAATGAACTCCATTTGCCACAGCTCAGCCCCATCTGAGCAGCCCATCTATATCCTCTTACAGTCCTCAGCTATCCTCCTCACTCTTTACTACCCCACCAATGGGGGGTACTGTTCGCGAACTTACTGATCAACCCTCCTGCGTTCCAGTCTAAATCATTTGTAGAAACCACAAACTGCATCTTGCATCTGTCTTGATGAGTGCAAGATGAAAAGCTTCAACAGAGTCTTTTTTTGGAATATTCACATTTTTGAATATTTATGAATAATATAAATTATGAATCTGTGTTCTGGTGTGCCAAATGTCTATGTAGTTTTACAAGTTACCTTTTCCAAACTTGACTTGCTCAGTTGGTCACCATCTTGGCCTTTCCCAAGGCTGGAAATTGAAGGACAATGTACACTCACAGAAAGACTTTAGTCAGCTCCCAGCCCCTCTCTGGCCTCCAATTGTACAGAAAGGGATGGAGGAGTGGAAGACCCATTATTATCTTTCTGATTGCTACCCTTGGAAATTGCAAAATGGCAGAGTGATGAGGTCCTCTCTAAAGAAGTTTAAAATTTGTGGTTATATGAAAAGATGACGTAGAGATTAGCCCCAACAAAGCACAAGACAACTCGAGGGCTGAATTTGCGAGTTCTTGTTTGGGATCATTATCCTCTCCTCTTTCAATCTGTTCCATGACCTGATTTCAGAACTGGGAGATGTGAGCAAAGTAGCTTCGTGTCTGCTAATCATAGGATCCCGACAGTGTGGAAGTAGGCCGTTCGGCCCATCAAGTCCACACCGACTGGCTGAACAGCATCCCACCCAGACTCCCCCCCCCCCCCCACCCTATCCCTGTAACCCTGCAACCCTGCATTTCCCATGGATAATCCACCCAACCTGCACATCACTAGACACCATGGGCAATTTCCCATGGCCAGCCCACCCTAACCTGCACATTTTTGGACTGTGGGAGGTAACCGGAGCACCCGGAGGAAATCCACACAGACACTGGGAGAATGTGCAAACTCCACACAGACAGTTGCCCAAGGCTAGATGTACCCATCCACCAAAGAATGCCATGTATTGACAAGTAACTTGCATTCTCCATCAGACACACTTGTCTGGTTGGGGTTAGCACAGCCTTTGGCAGTTTCTGTTTCCCCCTTCCACTTACTTTTAAAAGATAGATTTTTAAAATCATTAGGAAATTGAGGGTTATGAGGAAAAGGCAGGAAAGTGGAGTTGAGGATGACCAGATCAGCCATGATTTCATCGAACAGCGGAGCAGACCTGATGGATTGAATGGCCTCCTATTTATACTCTGAAAAAAAAATGGCCATTTTTAGACTTTTACCAATAATTATTTTTGAATCTCTTCTAAACGCACCAGGCCAGGCGATGGAAATTGGTAGTGCAGCACTGAATATTTTGGTTGAATGTTGGGATGGCCATTTAACACCTCCGGAAGTGGCGTCGTTAGCAGATCGTGCCTCCCGTGCCCGGGATCCCAACATGGTCCGAGCTGCAGCAGAGTTGGCTTTAAGTTGTCTACCTCATGCCCACGCCCTGAACCCCAATGAGATCCAACGAGCTTTGGTCCAGTGCAAGGAGCAGGTATGTTTGTTTCACTGTATTGACAAGACATTCATTGACTTTTCTCCTGGATAATTACATGGTGTAATTAATCTTAATGCAATTGCTTAATGTCTCATTAACAAGTGCAGCTTGGCCATGATTGTGGTGGTGAATGTTGTGTGGTAGCTTGCTTCGTTAGACCATGTTTCTTCCAGTTTGATGAGTTGTCCATTGGAACCTCATGCCTGGCGATACGCCACAGGCTCCTCCAGGCTCCCGTGTGATCTTGGGCTGGAAGAATTGCCACCTAGTAAGTGGGTACTACCCTTTTAATGAGGAGTTGGACCTACCGACCTGTCTGCCCGTTCCTGTACGTCAAACGGGTAACTCAGGGTCCCGAGGCCGTGGCGGAAGAACTGCTAATTTTCTGGGATCCTGTTTAACATTCCACCCGTCAAATGGTGTCACTAAAGACAGTGTCATAGAATTATAGAATCCCTACAGTGCGGAAAGAGGCCATTCAGCCCATTGAGTCTGCGCCGACCCTCAAAAGAACCATCCCACCCAGACACCAACCCAACCCAACACCCCCCCCACCCACCCCCAACCCTATCCCTGTAACCTTGCATTTTCCCACGGATAACCCACCTAGCTTGCACATCCCTGGACACTATGGGGCAGACTAGCATGGCCAATGCACCCTAACCTGCACATCTTTGGACTGTGGGAAGAAACCGGAGCACCCGGAGGAAACCCACGCAGACACGGAGAATGTGCAAACTCCATCCACACAGACAGTCGCCCGAGGGTGGAATCAAACCTCTGTCCATGGTGCTATGAAGCAGCAGTGCTAACGTGACCTGTATTTGTTTGGGGGAAGTTAATGCAATGGTTGCATGTCAATTCCTTGCATGTTTGAGCCATATCTGAGAGATAGATATATTGTGTCCTCTTCCCCAGCTCCACACTGTAATGACACTATATCCTACACTGGGCTTGAGGCATTGTTGTCATGGGAGCATGTTTTTAAGGCAGATGTGGAATAGATTTTTGTCAGGCAAGAGAATCGCAGGTTATCGGATGGGAATGGGAAGGTGGAATTTGAATCATGGAGATCAGCCACGATCTTTATTAAATGGTGGAGCAGACAGGATGCTGAATGGTCTACTTCTGTTTGTTTAAGGGGACGTCATTCAATCCATCAATCCTGTTCTGTCATCCACTAAGGTCTTGCATGATCTGACTGTGACCTTAACTCCACTTTCTTGCGTGCTCCCCATAATTTCTGACTCCCTTGTCAATCAAAAACCTGTTAAACTCAGCACTTAATAACCCTGTGCTCCCTGAAAATGTGAATTCCGAAGATAATGATCCTCTGAGAGAAGAAATCCCTTCTCATCTCCATCAGAAATGGGAGAGCGCGTTTTGGTTTTGTTTTAAACTTTGCCCCTGGACTCCCCCATGAATCCACCGGATTCCCCCGTGGGAAGGAGATCAGCACTGACCTGTTCAAACCCCCACAACCTTATAGTTTTCAGGAAGACTACCCCTCGAATTTGAAAAGCATGCCATTGTGATGGGTATGCTGCGCCCTTTGATGGATGGCTGTAGTTAATCTCATGAACAGCGAAACCTCCTGAAGTCACCCTGTGGCATTACTAATGTCCCTAATTGAGTGCTGGGCCTGAGGTGCTTTTGTCTTGTTCGTGTGTCTGTGTCCGTGCATGCGGCTTCTTTGGTTTTCAAAGTGCTGGGCTTGTTTTGTGTTGGGCTGAATGGCCTGATTTTTGTGTGTGTGTGTGTATATTATGTTTCCTGTTCTCCGTTCCAGGATAACGCCATGTTGGAGAAGGCCTGCATGGCGGTGGAGGAAGCGGCGAAGGGTGGTGGCGTCTACCCAGAGGTGCTGTTTGAGGTCGCCCACCAGTGGTACTGGCTCTACGAGCAAACGGCAGGCGGCTCGCAGCAGCGGGAGATGTCGGCCCGTGGGGCCCACGAGGCGGGCAGGGCTTCTGCGGAGCACCCTCCCCTCGCCGAGGGCTCGGCCACGGTCACCGTGGCAGCCACCGTGACCGCCACTGCCGTGGTGCCAGTCATCACCGTCGGTTCCACCATGTACCAGCAACACACCATCGCTGGAACAGCTATCGCGCACCCTCATGGACAGGTCTTCCCTACCAGCCCAGTCATGAGTCACCCATACACGACTATCCAGACCCACATCCCGTCCGTCTGTAATGCTGCCTACCTGGGACATCCGATACAGCACGTTCCTCGTCCTGCAATCTTCCCTGTAGCTGGAGCTGCATATCCTCAGGTACTTCCGTACAGTACCGGTCGTTTCACCGGGATCAGGAGGGGGCGGCTTGTATAGATGCTGTAGCGATTCTTATTCATGCAATGTCAGAATCCCCCAGCCAGACGGCCACACAAACACGTTTGTTTGAAATAGTATTGAATAACCGGCAGAGAAACGGTCCCTCTCAAACTTTTTGCACGCACGAATGTGAACGTAGCTACAAAAGTTTTTTTTTTCATTCATTCATTCATGGATGTGAATGGCTAGGGCCAGCAAGTTTTGCCCATCTCTAATTACCCAGAGGGCAGTTCAGAGTCAACTGCGTTTTGAGTCTGGAGTCACGTGTAGGCGAAACTAGGTAAAGATGGCAGTTTCCTTCCCTGAAGGACACTTGTGAAACAGATGGGTTTATTTGGCTGACAATTGTTTTAGATTGCTCCATTATTAATCGTCATTAGATTATTTAATTTCTTGAGTTGAAATTTCACCATCTGCCATGGTAGGATTCGAAGCCAGGTCACCAGAACATTACTTGGGTCTCTAGATGAATAGTTTAGCGAGAATACCACGACGACATTGCCTCCCCATGTTGCCCACAACAAACACACAGAATGCTCGATAAGCTCAGCAGGATCAGTGGATGGAGGAACAGAGTTAGCGTTCTGAGTCCGGTGTGACTTCTTCAGATCAGTTCTGTTGTGAGAAAGAGTTATTTTGAGCTCGACATTAACTCTGCTTCTCTTTCCACAGATCGTGCCTGACCTGTTGGAGTTTCTTCAGCATTCTGTGTTTTGTTCAGATTTCCAGAATCTGTGGTATTTCACTTTTGTTTAAGTGTTGCCCATGCCTGCGTGAAATATCTCCACATTTTCTGACTTAGTCACCACCCCCAGAAAAAAAAAGCCTCTCCCCAACCCCGTTCAATACCAACCCAGCATCTTCTGTCTATCCTCCGAGTTTGCCTTGACACACTTTCTATATAATTCTCGCCCAAACTAACCCACGTCCCTAGTGTGTCCTCACATTTTTCACACGTCCCCACATTTCCCCTGAGTGTGATCAGACAGAAACCAGGTGTAGCTTGCTTCAGAGTGAGGAAGTGAAGCTGGTTTGGTGCAGCCAACAATGTTTTTCTGGGTGTAGGTAGGTGTTTTGAGCTGTGCTCTGGCTGCTGGACCCTATCTAGGTGGATCCCTTAAATGCAACACTGAGGGAGAAATGAAATGGAAGCCTTTTTCAGGCTGACGAGGTGGTCCGTTTTGATGAAGCAGTGGTTGCATCCTGGCCAACATCTCTCCCTGAACCGACAGCATCTTTGTGGATCGAAAATAAAGTCCTATTTGCCTGATATTTCTTGTGTCATTTGATTATTACTCAGTTCTGCGGGGAGGAAGGGAGTGGGGGACTGGTTTGCTGAAGAGAATGCACTTCAAACCAATTTAACCCAAACGTTTGGGACTGTCGTCAGGAAGTTAACTTTGGTATTCTGGGTGGATTGGTCGGGGGGTGGTGAGGGGGGGCACGACAGCCCAGGTTGCGTTTGAGAAAGGATTGAATGATGGGCAGAACAGGGCCCAACTGTTTCAGTAAACAGTGCCAACCTATGCATGCCGCTTCCTGTCGGTCGATCCCATGCCGTTTTGATCAATAAGGGAGGGGCAGCGACTGGAGATGTTGGGCAGAGGACCCCATCAAACTGCAAACTTGCGAGTAATAAGTAGGGCGGTGGAAGAGGGATGTGTAATTATTTACCGGTCTGTAATCTATCTAGGGGATGCATCCGGCATTTATTGGAGCTCAGTACCCTTACACCGTAGCAACCACCACCCATCCAGCTATGGCAGCTCCACCAGTGACCTTCGCAGGGGTTCCTGTACCTCCTATGGCCCCAATGGCAGTGCACCCTTACCAGTCTGACCCGAATCTGCCCCTGGCCTCAACCGTAGCAGGTAGGTGAGATCTTTCAATGGTTCACCCAAAGTGGATGTGTCATTCTCTTTTCTTTTTAAGAAGTGCTTTAAAATTAGTGGTGGTTCCACTAAAATTAGTAGTGGAAACCCGACAACCTTCTCCATTTGTGCTGGGCTTGACTGAGTGAGTGTTCGTTAGCAGCGCAAACATGTTTAATCAAATTTGTAGGGGTTTATAAACCTGGGGCAGCACGGTTGGCTCACTGCAGCCTCACAGCGCCAGGTACCCAGGTTCGATTCCAGCCTCAGGCAACTGTCTGTGTGGAGTTGCCAGTGTCTTGCGTGGGTTTCCTCCAGATGCTCCGGTTTCCTCCCACAGTCCGAAGGTGTACAGGTTAGGGTGGATTGCTAAATTATCCATAGTGTCCAGGGATGTGGAGGTTAGGTGCGTTAGCCGTGGGAAATGCAAGGTTACAGGGATAGGGTAAGGGGTTGGGTCGGAGTGGGATGCTCTTTGGAGGGTTGGTGTGGACTCAATGGGCCGAATGGCCTGCTTCCACACTGTGGAAATAAATAAGGTGAATGACAAGGGTCTTTTTCCCTCGTGTGGGGGGAGTTCAAAACTAGGGGGTATATTTTTATGGTGAGGGGAGAAAGTTTTAGAAGGGACTTGAGTGGCAACTCTTTAAACATGGTTTAAAGTGGTTTGTGTGTGGAATGAACTTCCAGAGGATGCAGGTACAATGTTTAAAAGACATTTGGATAAGTTCATGAATAATAAAGGTTTGGTGAGATGTGGGCCAAACGCAGGCAAGTGGGACTAGTTTATTTTGGGAACATGGTCAGTGTGATCTAGTTGGACCAAAGATTCTGTTTCCGCGCTGTATGACTCTACGAATGGTGGGGTACCACAGTAACATCCGTGTGGCTAATGGAGCTCTTGCTCATCCCATGGCAAGTGCTCCCTCTGGTGACCGAGCACAGAGCAGTCAGGAATGGAGAGGCATTCGGTCTTCATTCATTCTGCAGGTCTCGAGACCAGACAGAAGGTAAGGTCTTTGTTTGTAAAACATGGCGCCTTGTCAATTTTAATAGCTTAAGTAAGCCACTGGTAATGGTCGGCTCCAATTCGCTGTCAGCAGGAGTTCAATGCTTCACGTTTAAGCAGTTGCATTCCGGGGCAGGCTCTGATGCTTTTTCTCTAGTTGGGATGGTTTCGGGCAAGAGATGTCCACGAGTTGGTGGGAAATTATACATTTTTATCAGGGATAATTAGACACTGGAAAAAGAATTGGAACTAAATCAATGTAAACATTTGCTGAAATGTTGGCTCTCCCCAACTGGATACTTCCAGCATTTTTTTTTTGGTTTGTTTTTAGTTCGTATTTCCAGCAATGTTTTATTTTCACATTAGGTTAAAATGTTTTTTGTTTCTTTAATTCTTAGCTGTTTTCACAGCTCCCGGTTGCTTTGCCCAGTTCACCAGCTGTGAGCCATGGTCGCAGAGGGCTCAAGTAAGTCCTGTTGCCCTTACCCACTTGAAATAACTGCACAGAGGCTGGCATACTGTCACCAAGTCACCCTTTATTTACAAATTCACAGTGCACTGGTTGTGGCCAACCAGCTTGGAGTCAATCCCTGAAGTGAGGAATATCTGAATCCCCTGTTTATATCTGTCAGCCAGGGCTCCCTGATTGGCTCAGGCTTAAAACCGTCAGTCAAGGAAATCATAGTCAGTAAGATCCACCCAGTTCAAATCACGACACCACCATGTATGCAGGAGTTGCTGAATGACACCAGGAACTTGGGTGCTGAATGTTATTTTTGTACCACCCTTAACTACCACTACCTTGACCAAAGCGGACTGAGTTCGTTAGGCACTTTCCCTGCTGCTACTCCAGCTGAGACTTATCTTCTGAACACAGACCAGGCATCAAACCAGAGTCTGTGGGTACGGCTGCTGTCAGCAGAGCACAATGCTTTGGGAACTGTGATGGGGTCTGATCCAAAGCACTAGCACTAACACTGAAGAATAATAAATTAAATTGGTTATTTGGCACACGTTTGTCCTGACGTTTACTCACCTGCCCTGAGATCTCCTTAGCGTCACATTTTGTTTCATCACCTTGCTGTGACCTATTGAGATGTTGCTGAATTAGAGGTTCTACCAACATCTGGCTCGGATACAGGTAGCTCCACTCTGATCCTGAAGGTAATGCATTGCCATTGACCTATAACCTAGGCTAATAGTCAAGTGCACTGTGGGTAGGTCTCTGGAAATACTGATACCTCGTTGTTTGTTTTTTTTTCTTAATTCAATGCTGGGACATTGCTGGCTGGGCCAGCATTTATTGCCCATCCCTCATTTCCCTTCAGAAGCTGATGGCGAGATGCTTTCCCGAACTGCTACAATAGATAGACCCACAATGCTTTTAGGGAGGGAGTTCTAGGATTTTGACCTAGCGACACTAAAGGAACGGCGATATATTTCCGAGTCAAGATGGTGAGCAGCTTGGAGGGGAACTTGCAGGTGGTGGTATTCCCATGTATCTGCTGCCCTTGTCCTTCTAGATGGTTCTGTGAGCTATAGAATCGTGGGTTTTTTTCCAGTTGTGCAGCACAGCTTAATACATTTTAACAAGAATTCAAAAGTGGCATGGATTTCTCTGATTTGGAGAAGCATTCGCTTTGAGAATTTCTTGTCCTACGTTGCCCGGTCATGTTCAAAATGCCACAGTTATTAATCCTTAGGTTAAATAAAGACACCACAATGTCTCGTGACAGTGCCGTTACTTATGTGGGTGCCCCAGCCATAAATACAGTGATCACTGCCTTCTAAATAAAATTGGGAACTGTCTGGGGAACCCATTCAAAAGTCAAGTGACCTCCCCCACTCCCAAATTCCGTGGTTACTTCAGCCCGAAGAGGGTGGGATCAGTCAAAGCAAGGGGGAATGTTTGCACATGGTCCCTCTCAAGATCACTTACATTTGTCTATTCTGGGATTTTCACTTTGCCTGAGGTTATCCCCTCCTTGAAAAAAAAAACTGGCCACAGATTTTCCATGTTTATGCTCAGTCAGGTCAAGGGTCAAGTCGTCATTGTCCCAGAGGATCATGGGGCTGCTCTCATTAGAGAGAGACGACTGGTGGTGGTTTAACCTGAGGGTCACCATGCCTCAGGCGAGGAGAGAGGTTGAAAAGGTAATGGTCGCCTGAACCAAAGTGGGAATTGAGCCCATGTTATTGGTGTCATTCTGCATCACAAACCAGTCATGTAATCAACTAAGCTCACCCGCAGGAAGGCTCATCAAATTATACTTACTTCTTTTTTAGGAATTAACGGCCGTGTTGCGAAAATGTTTTCCACACTTTTAGTGAGGAATGACTTACTAACCAAACTATTATGGGCTTCAGCTTTTCTCCGTGTTTTCCATGTCTAACACAAACAGAAATTGCTGGAGAAACTCGGCAGTTCTGCCAGCATCTGTGGAGACAAAGCAGAATTAACCTTTCAGGTTCAATTACCCTTCTTCAGAGCATTCTTAAGAAGGGTCACTTGACCCAAAACACTCTGTTTCTCTCTCCACAGATGCTGCCAGCCCTGCTGATTTTTTTTCCAGCAATTTATTTTTGTGTTTCTGAATTCCAGCATCCACAATTTTTTCATTGTTTTATGTCTGTATAGTATGGGGGCCGATATCCTTGCTAAAAATGCTTCATTTTTGGTGGTAAACCCACTTTCTGCCGTATTAATAAAATTACAGCAGACTGCCCCTCTAAGTGCAAAGACCTTTTGATTGGGAAAAAGAGCCAATTGCAATGCCCCATTATGCTGATGTGTTGACGATACTGCCATTCCCTGCCCAATCAGAGTCAATCTCTCTGGTTTAAAATTTAAACAAAACTCATGACAGTTGACTCTCAATCATCATTAACAGGTGCTTTCTCTATGGTAACACCTGTACCGATGAGAATCCACTTGACCACCAATCGGTACTCTCCTCAATGCAGTATAAATGTTGGTTTGCCCATTAAATTGGTATCCTTGAGAAATGTCCTGATGAGTGCACGATGAAAAGCTTCAATAAAACGTGTACTTTTTCTCAGTAATACTCCACCAAATGACTATATTGCCTTTTGTTTTTGCAAACAAACTCCAGTGGAAATTTGAAGCCAAAATAACCCAGTGCATTTTGGATGCAATTGTCCATTGTTGACCAAAGTGACAAACTCTACTGCACATCCCTTAGAGCTGAGAACTGATGACAACCACTTGGAGAGAGTACAACATTACAACATTCAAGGGTTCACCTGGCCTTTTAATAGCCAGTCATTTGGATGCAAAATGCTATTGGCAATCTTTATGAATGTCCAAACTGATAAAAGTGTCTGTCGAATTGTATTTAGCTAAAGTTTGAACACTGTTTTAGTGTTCTACCTGGTTGTGTGTTGACTGTGATGGTTAACGTTGCCTCCTTCTCCCTTTCCAGTGGCCAGTGTGCAGGCTGGGACTGCTTTCCAGGCTGTTCAAGGAGCATCAATGCCAACGTTAACAACACAAGGCCCCTCGATAGTCGCCCCGACCTTCCCCACGGAAGACGAACAGCATTCTCAGCCGGTCAGTCCTCAGGGACTGCACTACCTGCATTCCGCTTATAGAGTTGGTGAGTGCGCGGCTGTACCTTCTCAAGGTTGGCCATCTCTGGAAAGCCCTCCTCAGCCTCTGGACTTCTCACAAGTGTTTCACAGTCACTGAAGTGTTACCGCTGTAGTAATCTCAGAAACACAGCAGCAAGCAGTGATGTCTGAATAGTCCATTGTTAGCGATGTCGGAGGGGCATGAATTTGGCTAGGGCATGACAGTACTCCAAATCCCTTCTCGATGGACAGGTCTCCTACCTGGGGTTTTGTTTTGGTGAAATCTGTTGCGTTCCAGTTCAGGCCAGTCCATCCTTCCTTGAATAAAGACACCAAAGCCCTTGCATAACTGCAGTAAGTGCTCCTTACCTCCTTAAAGGAAAGGCTGACCTGTCAATGGTTTGGGAAAATGTCAGCAAACTACAAGACCTATCTGAAGCTGGCTAAAGAAAGGTGTTGGAGGCAGAAGAAATTGGAAAAATTAAAAAGGACAGGGAGCTTTTCTTTAATTCATTCAAGGGATAATTGCATCACTGACCAGGTCAGCATTTATTGCCCATCCCTAATTGCCCAGGGGGCAGTTTAAGAGTCAACCACATTGCTGTGGGTCTGGAGTCACATGTAGGCCAGACCAGGTAAGGATGGCCGTTTTCTTCCCTAAAGGACATTAGTGAACCAGATGGGTTTTTCCCGACAATTGACAATGGATTCATGGTCACCATTAGACTCTTAATTCCAGGTTTTTATTGAATTCAAGTTCTGCCACGGCAGGATTCAAAGCCAGATCCCCAGAAGATCGGTCTCTGAATTAACAGCCCAGCGATAATACCACTAGGCTGTAACTGCCTCCATTTGTTGTTTGAGCTGATTGAGTTACTTTTGTTTTTTTGCGAAGGATGTGATAGTGAAAAGTATATTCCATTTGCTGGAGTTGTCGTCTTTTAGAGAGGAGAAGGTTGAACTGAGATTTGACAGAGGTGTTCAATATCATAAAGGCTCTGGACAGAACAGTAGAACAAAACTGTTCCCATTGATGGAAGGGTGAAGTTCCACTGGATGTAGGAAGTGCTGAAAGAATTGTCAGTGACTTGAGAAAAATCTTTATTATTGCAGAAGTGGTCAAATCTGGAATGCACTGCCTGGGCACGGACTTAATTGAGGCTTCAAGATTTGCCTAAGAACCTCTGGAGTTAGAATTTGCAGGCGAAAGGGCTGGGGAGTAGGACCAGCCGAGTTGCCATTGCAGAGAGCTAGCAAAGGCAGGGACGGACAGAATGGCTCCTTCTGTTCAGTAACCTTTTTCTGACCATGCCCCCAAGCCAATATTTATCCCCTGAGCACACAAAGCCAGACAGGAATGGAGCAGGCAGCTGTTGAGTCTCCTCCGCTCTATAATATGAGCTTGACCTTCAATTCCTCTTTCCTCCCTGCTTGCCGTACCCCTGATTCCCCGAGACCCCAAAAATCTCTGTGTCTGGCCTTAAATATATTTTATAATTGGAGCATCCCCAACCATGTGGGATGAGGAGTTTACAATCAGCAGAATGCCTGGCCATTATCACATTGCTCTTCATGGGAGCTTGCTGCCTGTGTTTCCTACATTTATTGGTGGCTACAATTCAAGAAGCACTTAATGTTCTGAAACTCCCTTTGGAACTTCTAGTGACTGTGCCAAGACTAATACAGTTACAATTCTGAGGAAGAGTCACTGGACCTGAAATGCTAACTCTGCTTTCTTTCCACAAATGCTGCCAGACCTGCTGAGCTTTTCCAGCAACTTCTAGTTTTGTTTCTGATTTACAGCATCTGCATTTCTTTTGGTTTTTACAATTCTCTTACTTTTGCTGTGAATGAATTCCCTTTTTTAAAAAAAAAATTTGTGCTTTTCGCACAGATGCAGTTTCTTTTTCCCTAATGCAAAGCGAAAAGTTTTTCTTTGTTTTAATAGCTGATTTTGAGGCTGTGTTTGGTCTGTGCAGGAATGCTAGCTTTGGAAATGCTTGGTAGAAGAGCTCATAATGACCACCCGAACAATTACTTCTCCAGGAGCCCACCGTACACTGAAGATGTGAAATGGCTGCTTGGATTAGCAACGAGACTAGGTAAGAAAGGGGAATTGGACATGTGCTGTAACGTGGAACATACGTGAGATCTACGAATGCAGTGGTTTGTAGTTCAAAAGCATAAAACTAAACAGAACCCATTATGATGTGAGTGGTCAGTGCAGCTGTTTTGCTGATGCTGGGGTAGAATATTGGCTGAGGGCATACAAAGACCTTTCTCATAATATGCAGAGAAAAGAAAACCTTCCTATGGATATAAGAGGATGGATATCTCGGCTCTTTACCAGCATCTTGGATATTTGATGCCTCTCCCAAAAAGACAAAGCAGCACTCCCTGCCATTCTGCACGGAAATGCCAACATTTGACAAGTGCTGAGGACCAGAACACACCTTGCATGACTAGTACAAAATGAATCCAACAGCCTCGCTTTATGTAAAAAAAAAAAAAAAATTGTAACTATTTTCCATGGCCACAATTGGGTTAATCCAGTGTTGACAGCAAATGCAATAGCATTGTAATAATTTAACAATAAATTACACAATTTTGTATTGTCGATGACGTTGTGCTTATATAAACATGTGTGAGTGGCCACTCTGACATTGTGTTGAATTTTAAGAGAATTTAAAGACAAATGTGGTTCTGGTGGCACTACAGATGGATTATTGTCAACAGTTCAGATTTCCTTGCCTAAGGGATGGTATCCTTGCCCTGGAGGGAGTGCAACAAAGGTTTACCAGACTGATCCCCGGGATGGCACGTTTGTCCCATGAGGAGTGGGAAAACTGGGCCTATATTTCCACATTTTAGAAGAATGAGAGGTGCTTTCTGAAGTGTAAGAAACCTTAGAGGGCCATTCAACCCTCAAGCCTGCTCCAACAGTCTCTAAGATCGTGGTGCATCTGCCTGAGGCCTCAATTTCCTCTTTCGCACCAACTCCCCTGGTGTTTCAAAAGTACATTTTGATAAATTCCCACAGAGTGGTTTCGCCCCAGATCACTATGTGCGAAAATTACTTTGAGTCAGTAATGTGCTGCAGGACATTATCGAGATGCTGTTAGTCATGTTGGCCACCTGCTGCTATGCCAGTGAATGCTGAGATGCATGTTCTTCTGTCCCTCGTGTCGCCAGGTGTGAACTATGTCTATCAGTTCTGCATGGGTGCGGCCAAAGGAGTGCTGAGTCCATTTGTTCTACAGGAAATCATTATGGAGGCTCTACAACGCCTTAATCCTGCTCACGTACATGCTCATCTTCGAACGCCAGCATTCCACCAGCTTGTTCAGAGATGCCAGCAAGCATATATGCAGGTAAAACTCAAACTCACCTTTCACCCCAAAGTGTATATTTTACTTGCCAAACCGGTCCTGCTTTTACACAGGCTTGGTGCAGCTTTCTGACTGTGCTCACTACAAAGCAGTCTGCTGGATTACCAGCCCCAACCGCGACGCTCAGTCGCAGCAGTGTGTACCATCTGCAAGGCGCAGTGCAGAAATTCACCAAGGCTTCCTCAGACTGCACCTTCCAAACCCACAACCACCACCATCCAGAAGGACAAGGGCAGCAGGTACATGGGAACACCAACCCCTTCAAGTTCCCCTCCAAGCCGCTCACCATCCTGACTTGGAAATTCCTGCATCAAAATCCTGGCGCTTGTTCCCTTAACAGTGTTGTGGTATGGGCCACAGCAATTCAAGAAAATTGTCTCAAAGACAATTAGTGAACGGGAACAAATGCTGACATCCCGTAACATCACAAAACAAATAGATGAAGTAGCATTATGTTTCTTTGAACCAAGATGAAATTGCTACTTTAAATTGTTAATCTTTATTTAATACTCAGAACTTTAATTATTTACTTATGGCAAGGTGGGTGAAGTGTAAAAGTAAGGAACTGTACAGGGCACTGGTGAGACCATGTCTTGAGTACAGTATGCACCTTTGGTCTCCTTCCTTAAAGGGACTATGCTTAGATTGTTGGAATGAAGTTATCTTCTGAGGAAAGGGCCAAAATTGATTGGAGTTTGGGAGAATGAGAGGTGACCTTATTGAAACATATCAGAATCTGAGGGGGCTTGACATGATGGATGCGGAGGAATCTGGAATGAGGGAGCAGCGTTTCAAAATAAGGCATTGCCCTTTCAAGATGGAGGTGAGGAGGAATCCTCCTTTCTCTCTCTCTCTCTCTCTCTCTCTCTCTCTCAGAAGGTCTTTGAACCTCTCCTCCACAGAGAGCAGTGGAAGCTGAGTCATTAAATGCACACAAATCTGGACAGAGGAGTTGAGGATCGGGGAGGGGGGGTGGTCAAGAGTGGAGCAGACTGGATGGGCCAAATGGCCTAAACCTGTTCTTACTACATACCTTACAAAGATGTTGAAGTCGATTGGGAGCTGGTTCAGAGTGCTGGCTGTTTCTCTGTGCCTGAAACTGTGGAGAGATGAAGCTGACATATTATGGTCTTGCCAGTCGCACGCTGGTACGTGGATCTCCGGAAGTGTTTAATGATAGGTCCCTCTGCACACTCTCACACGTTCACACACACTCACTTTCTCTCTCTCTCTCCCTCACTCACTGATTCATACTGTCACTTTCTCTCACTGGTACACACACTCTCGCTCACACTGATGCTCACTCTCTCTTGCTCACGTTCACTCTCTCTCGCTCACACTGACGCTCACTCTCTCTCACGTTCACACTGAAACATTCTCTCACACTGACACTGACACTGACACTCTCTCTCACGCTCACACTGACTCTCTCTCACGCTCACACTGACACTCTCTCACGCTCACACTGACACTCTTCTCTCTCACGCTCACACTGATGCTCACTCTCTCTTGCTCATGTTCACTCTCTCTCGCTCACACTGACGCTCACTCTCTCACACTGACACTGACACTGACACTCTCTCTCACGCTCACATTGACTCTCTCTCACACTCACACTGACACACACTCTTACACTCACACTGACTCTCGCTGTCACACTGACTCTCTCTCACGCTCACAGACTCTCATGCTCACACTGACTCTCTCTCACGCTCACACTGACTCTCTCTCACGCTCACACTGACTCTCTCTCACGCTCACACTGACACTCTCTCTCATGCTCACACTGACACTCTCACTCTCTCACGCTCACACTGACACTCTCA